GTACATTGATTTAATTTTGGTGATTGCCATGTTTCTGTACTAGGTGAAGTTGTGGCTGATATTGATTTGACTTCTTCATGGTGTTGTAAGATCAAGTATCTTTTGTCTTCTATTTTAATTTTTTTAACCTCTTTTCCAAAAATTACTTTGTTGTAATCTATAGCTGCTGACATTGTATTTTTATTATTATTATTATTATTTATATAGTTCCAGTTGTGGGATTCGGCAACTATATATCTAAACTGATTATTTTCACAATTTTACCAATTATTCACGTGACAAAGTCACAGACCTTTTACAAATTTGGATTTATTTTTATATATTGGATTCTTTATAAAGCAAGATCAGCATAAAATTTTTGGCAAGTGGCGCAGCACGTGATGTCTTTAGATGATTCGCACCATACCACAAGTATGCAAATAAATATTAATATGTTGTGATGCGTAACGTTTTAGACCACCACATGCAATCTATCTATTATTGTATCGTTGGGTTACGTTTAGACTACCACAAGCACATAAATAAATATGTTGTGATGTGTAACTTTTAGACTACTGCATGTAAATGATTTTTAATTGTGATACAATAAAATTCCACAATAAAATATCATTAGTTTTTGATTATTCTCTAACTTGATAATGTGACATTTTGTAGTCATGAATCAAATTTAACAAAATGATGTCAATCAAAACTGTTATTTTTTTAAATCTATACATATTTATAATAAACGTAACTAAACTTATTAATGCTATGAATCTACAGTATTAAATAATTTTGAATAATAATGTAAGTATAATATGATAATCAGGGGTTTTCTGATAATGAAGTAGTATTACGATCTGCTACAACCTTTAATTATAGTATTTACAAGATTATTTATAGTGTGCTCTAGATGTAAACCATCAGCAAAGCTGACAGGTTACACCTAGTCACTAATTAAAATTTGCCAATCACTAATAAAACATACAAAATTTTCTATAATATATTAATAAAAATAAATAGAAATAAAATTTTAAGTGAATAATAACCATATTATTAAATACCAAAAGAAAATTGCCTGTTTTTAATCAAGGTACGTGTAAGTGATATTAGTTTTACTCATG